TGCCTCGGTATATAACCAAGAATTGAAAGCAGGACTCAAACAGATACTTGTATATCGATGTTTATTGCAGCATTTTCACAGTAGCCAAGGGGTGGAAACAACCTAAGTGTCCATCAGCAGATGAATGGATAAACAAAACATGGTGGAGACATACAACGGAATAATTCAGCCATAAAGAGAAATGAAGCTGTGATATATGCTATAACATGGATGAACCTTGAAAACATTATGCTGAGAGAAATAAGTGAGACACAAAAGATAGATATTGTATGATCCCACTTGTATGAAATATCTAGAAAGGGCAAATGTGTAGAGGGAGGAAGTAGATTAATGGTTACCAGGGGCTGAGGGGTGGGGGAGCTGTGGAATTATTGCATAATTGGTACAGAGTTTCTGTTTGGAGTGGTGAAAAATTTTGGAAATAAATAGTGGTGATACTTGCCTTAAAAAAAAAAAAAACTTCCTAAATTCATTAAAAAAATAGTAACAAGACTTATGAAGAAAAAGAGTATGGACAGACTATTCAAAAACCTATGCAACTTTGTAACTAGGATTTCCAAAACAGTAACTGGTACCAGGAGATAGCTTGAATCACTCAGGCAGGAAGCTTAGCTTGGCCATAGTTGATATTAAAAATGTACAAAACAGTAAAGTTGGAATACTGGCAACATTTTAATAAGAACAGAGCCGGCAAATGCTGAGACAGTGAAAATAGCTGAGAGCTGCACAAGACTGGGGATGTCCCTTACTGAGGAGGAGCCCTGAATGCAGGTTCTCGTCTTTAATTTTCTTAAAATTAGACTGAAGGACTAATGGGTTTGGTTCTTTGGTTTTATCTTCCCTGTGCCTGTAACGTCTATGACTCATACAGGGTGTTTACATATTTGAATTACTGTTGTTTGCTGTTATGTAAAAAATGAGACTTCACTCCTCGTCAAGATTTATAAAACCAAAAACCCATTGCCAATGAGTCGATTCCGACTCATAGCGACCCTATAGGACAGAGTAGAACTGCCCCATAGAGTTTCCAAGGAGCGCCTGGTGGATTTGAACTGCTGACCTTTTGGTTAGCAGCCATAGCACTTAACCACTACGCCACCAGGACTTCCCAAGATTTATAAGCTCCTAGCAAATAGATAAGGGGACCATGCCTTATACTAATTCTGTGTCATCCAGGGAGCTGAGCACACAAACTTAATACTGGGTGACTCAATTTAGTAAACTTTTGTTTGGACATCTACTATACACAAGGTACTGTGGTAGGTGATAATAGGGGATACACAGATGATTAGCGCCCCTGCCTTTGTGGTATTTTTGTCTGATGGGGTAGGATTTTGCCAATACTATACAAATAACAAAACAACAAAGAAAATGGTGGTTAAGAATAAGTCAACCTACTAGATTCAGTTCCTATGCCTTCTGCTTAGTACCTGTCTCCTTGAGCAAGTTGCTTAATGTCTCTGATTCTTTAGTTTTTTCATTCTATAAATGAAGGCCCCCCCCGCCGGTGGCACAGTGGTCAAGTGCTCAGCTGCTAACCGAAAGGTCAGCAGTTCAAACTCACCAGCGACTCCGAGGGAGAAAGATGTTGGCAGTCTGCTTTTGTAAACCCTATCGGGCGATTCTTCTCTGACCTCTAGGGTCTCTATGAGTCCTGATCAACTTGACGGCACACAAAAACAACCTCCATTTCATAGGGTTGTTAGAACCTTTTAAAGATGACAAATGTTATCATTTTGCATAAATTAAAGTTTTATAATAATGCCATATGATAGAGATATTGCACTAAGGGCAAATTCAGAGATGAGAAAGAGCACCTCTGGTTGGAGGTGGAGAAGCAGCAAAGTTTCCTGGGAAAGGTGATATTTAAAATGGATCTTGGAGTAATCGATAGAATTTATAGGGTGACAGGGGTGGGGATAAGATTTCCTAGAGGGGGGAAGGATGAAGTATGAACAAAGTAAGCACAGTGGGAGAATGCAAATTGTGTGTGTCATGAAAGCAGTAAATGCCCCTCAGTAAAATCACGTTTCTACCATACCCAATACCACCTTATCTGAGTAATTACCAAAAGATGTTATCTGTTGTTACCCAACCCATGCTCCCCCCAGAAAAAGAAGACCTTTAATCTTTCACATCTTGACTTCTTAGGTTGAACACTTTATGACACTGAATTAACTACTCCTGCATTCAGAATATCGTTTTTTTTTCCCCCCTCACTAGATTGCGTATTTCTTGAGAGCCAGAAAACCGAACCAAATCTATTGCTGTCGATTCCGACTCAGAGCGACCCTATAGGATAGAGTAGAACTGCCCCCATAGAGTTTCCAAGGAGCACCTGGTGAATTTGCAATTGCTGACCTTTTGGTTAGCAACCGTAGCAGTTAACCACTACGCCACCAGCGTTTTCTTCTTGAGAGTAGGGGAAGTATATTTTAGTCAGTTTGGCTTTTCAACCCTTGTACTGTCTGTAGCACCTAGTAAACGTTTGCTCAACTTTTTTTGCGGGGGGTGGGGCAGGGGAAGGAGGAGGCAGCAAATAAATGGTTCTAATTTTAAAAAGTTCCAGCGGAATTAAAAATCAAATAAGAACTTTTGAAAGAATTGCTGTCAGAGACCTTTGTGCATCCCCAAATTTGTGAGTACCCTGTAGCATATAATTTCCTCATTTGGAAAATGGAATTATGAGGAGTTAATGAAATTAAATTACCATATTTATTACATTTTAAGATGGACTTAGGAAACATTTTTCAGTGTTTCCAGAAAGGTAGTTAAAATTCAAAGGAAAAGCACAATATAATCCTAGAACAAATTTTAGTATTAAAAATCATTACATACCAAAAAGTCACCTAGCACTTGAAAGCAGGGAGCCAAACAAATATTTATACACCAGTGTTCACTACATTATGATAGTCAAGGGGTAGAAACAACCCAAGTGTCCATCAACAGATGATTGGATAAACAAAATGTAGTATGTCCATACAGTGGAATATTATTCAACCATTAAGAGAAATGAAGTTCTGATCATGCTATGCCATGAATGAGCCTTGAAAACATTATACTGAGTGAAATAAATCTGAAATGAAGGACAGATATTATATGATCCCACTTATATAAAATATCTAGAATAGGCAAATGCATAGAGACTGAAGTTTATTAGCAGTTATTGGGGGCTGGGGGAGGTGGAGAGTTATTGCTTAAGGGGTACTGAGTTTCTGTTTAAGGTGATGGAGAACTTTTGGAAATAGATTAGGGGTGATGGTTGCACAACATGGTGAATGTAATGTAATGGTTAAAATGACAATTTTTTTGTTATATATATCTCCACAAAAAAAAAAAAAGTTACCTGTTTATATTTTGTTAGTGATAGCAGTTTTGGGATAAGTACCCTATCTCCCTGTCTTAGTTATCTAGTGCTGCTGTAACAGAAATACCACAAGTGGATGGCTTTGACAGAAGTCTATTCTCTCACAGTTTAGGAGACTAGAAGTCCGAATTCAGGGTGCCAACTCCAGCAGATGGTTTTCTCTCTCTGTCTGCTCTGGGAGAAGGTCCTTGTCATCAATCTTCCCCTGGTCTGGGAGCTTCTCAGCACAGGGACCAAAGGACGTGCTATTCTCCTGGCTCTTGTTTCTTGGTGGTATGAGGTCCCCATGTCTCTCTGTTTGTTTCTTTTATATCTTGAAAAAGATTGACTTAAGACACAACCTAATCTTGTAGGTTGAGTCCTGCATCATTAACATAACTGCCACTGATCCTGCCTCTTAACATCATAGAGGTAGGATTTACTGCACATAGGAAAATCACATCAGATGACAAAGTGGTGGATAATCACACAATATTGGTAATCATGACCTAGCCAAGTTGACACATATTTTGGGAGGACACAGTTTAATCCATGACACTCCCTTATCCCTAACCTAGCCAAGTTGACACATATTTTGGGAGGACACAGTTTAATCCATGACACTCCCTTATCCCTAGGGCAAGATGACTCTGAGGAATGTTTTACATGGTCTCCCAGAGAACCCAAGCAGGATTGAGTTCCAGCTGCCTATAGCAGTGTGGCTCGATAATGCACTTTTTATTGGCTTACTGACCTTCTCTGTCTCACTTCCCCACTCTTCTGCTAGTGTTTCTTAGTAACTTCCCAAATAGGCTTCTGGGAAATGCAACCTAAGACAGTATGGTGGAAGCATTTTAATATTAGTTTGTTTTTTTTTTTAAAGTCTAGAATATAGGTTTAAATAAAACTTGTGCACAAGGATCAGTGTGAAAACTTTTTTTTTTAGTGGGGAAGATTTGCTAAAACAGATTTAGTTGATTTTTGATACAACACGTAGTAGGTATGCAAATGCTTGCCGTTTTTGAAAGACAGGAATGGCTAGTTCTTATTTCGAGGCCAGTGGTCAAAATGAGCCTGGATTAAGTATTGGCATCTTTCTGTTTTGTGCTGCAAAAAGAATCAGTAATAAAGCCCAAAACAGAAGCGGCTAGATAAAGGTTTGGCATGTGAGTTTTTTTTTTTTTTTTTTAATACCAGCATTTGTTCTAGGTTTATATGGTACATCTCCTTTGAATTCTAACTACCTTCCTGGCAACACCGAATATAAAATTAAATCCAGTTCAAGAAGGAAGCAGAGAGAACTAGAGAAAGAATACAGATGCCAATGAGAGAACAGGATAGTGTAGTCCTAGCATTTTCTTATCCCCCAGTAATACATTTTGGTTTTAGATTTGCTCCATAGAATTCTGCTGGTAAATGTTTGATTTCAGAGCAGGTTTGATTGAAAAGAGACTAGGAGTATCTCTCCAAGTCGATTGAATTCTATGCCATCTGCTTACTCATCGTTGTGATTTTAGTATTTTAAAAGTATTGTTGTAAATATATTGTACTGAATGATAGAGTTTAAGAACTTTTGGGTACTATATATTAATAACATCATATGCATTAGATATAAATGCTTTTCCTAAAAGCCCCTTTTCCTCTTTCTTTACAGAATGCTGCCTTTTTATATGGTCTTGGTTTGGTCTACTTCCATTACAATGCATTTCAGTGGTAAGTTGACATAAAACTAATAACGCCAGTTGTTTCCATTAAGTGGCTTGTTTTTGTTTGTGTACATGAGTACGAGTGTGTGTGTGTGTGTGTGTAATAAACACAAAATATTTTAATGTCAGTGAACCTACATTTTTCATTAGTAGAAGTTTAAATGATTAGATTGTTCCTTCAGATGTATTGACCCACCTTAGATTTTTCGAGTTCAGTATGTTCCTAAGGTAATCTGGTATAAGATTCTGGTTAAAGAAGGCTTAGATTAGAAAGCTTTTTGGAATTTCTCAGTCATTCATGTGGAGCAGGAGGACTACCCCAGGTTATTTGAATTGGGGAATGAGTATGCTGCTCATTTAAAATCTCAAGATCTGTGAGTGAATGATCTATGAGTACCAGTAGTTTTACCTTCTCAGACATCAAGACAGATCAAATGCACCCTTCCCTCCTGTCCCTACACCGTGCACACCTGCTAGTACTTTTCAATTTCCAATATTATAAACTCCCAGTTCTCTCTTCTGTAAAATTGGAATAATGGTACTACCTTCAGAATCAGAGATTAAATATGATAGTAATATATAAGATTTTATAGCTGTAAAGTATAGGGCCCTGTTATTATGGCCTTTGCACCATTATTGTTTTTCTTTTTACCAGACAAGACAATAGCATGCTGTAATGAAAGGAACATAGAATTTGGAGTTGGAGGATCAATATTCTGGTCCCAGTCCTGCCACTTAGTTTGATCTTGAATTAAATAGCATCCTTAGGTCTGTTTTTTTTTAAAAAAAAAAAACAAGTATATTGCAATCACATACCTTTTCTACTTAACACAATTTTGATGATCAAGTGAGATAATGTACATTTTGTAAACTGTAAAGCCCCATGTAGACATTTGTTATTTTGAAGTGTATCTTACTTTGTCAGAGTCCCTTCTGTTCCCCATAATTTTAAGCTGAGTGAATGCTGCAGGTGTCCAATGGAAGGTGGTAGAGTGTTTTGCCAAAGGTTACAACTCTGTCATACATCTGTTGGATACTCTGAAATTTATCACAGAGCTTTTAAATATGTATTAGCAGTGATTATGAAATGGTTATCCTAAAGATGATCCTTTAGACATGAATGGCGTTTCCTAGTGTCTGTTCTTCCCTCTTTGCTTTTGGGCCTGTTGATTTTTGATCATATATTGAACTGCATTATTAGAGAACACCTGTGTGGATATATAGTTTTGTGATCATTCAGATCTCTGATTTTCTTTGTAAACTGTACAAAGCTATAATTGATCTTTATAAAGAAGCTTTCTGTTTTTTTTTCTCTTAAATTATCCATTGTTTTAGGGCAAGCTTAACTTAAGCGTCCTAACTTCATGTCCAGTGCATCATATTTAAAACCTAGAATAGACTGGAGCTGTTTAAAATCTCTTTCAGCTTCTTCAAGATACTATTCATCGAATTCACAATTCTAAATTTTTTTTAACTAAAGGTGGTTTTAGAAATAACTTAGTTTTTTCCCTTAATTTTGTAGCTGGGGAAACAGAGAGGTGTGTGTGTGTGCGCGTGTGCGCGCGTGCATTACATGTGTGTATGTGTTTAACTAGTATTACATAACTGTTTAATTAGTGGCAGAAACAAGCTTATGCTCAGATTCCCCAATTTAATATTTTTTCTATTGTACTGTGCCCCCAAGTCTGAAGATTGAAAGGTGGTTAATATTTTAATCAGTTTTTGTATTATTCTCCTGGGCACATTGATACAATTTTTATAGCCAGGCAGAAATAATTTAGGTGAAGCCCAGGCAAGAAACTCTACACTTTAAGAATGGAAATGTATACCTCATACCAGCTAATTCTCACATGTCTGTGATAACTTGTGAGCTCCCTATAGATTGAAGAGATGAACATAAAATCAGTAGTGAGGTGAAGCCATCATCAGTTCAGGATATTGATTCCTTTAATATGTATGTGACTGTTAAGTTAGGAGGTCTGGTAACTATGGAAAACTATTGTATCGTTTGTTTCCTAATCTGTATATGATTTCTATATGTGTCAGTTGACCTAAGCAAAGAAACTGAATAATACAAGGACAGTGCAATGTCTGAATTAATTGGTGCCCTCTGCTCTGTTGATCCTGTCCTGGTCACCACCATTTTCTCATGTCTTGAGTTTCAACTTTGTAGCTGCTTCCTAAAATGACAAATCTCACAATCACACCCTGTCTATGAATTAACCCTGGCTGTGTGGTTTCTGTCTTGTTGTTCAAATGTTTTTTTTTTTACAAACTTGGTACCCCAAATTTCTCCTTTAACTTATCTTACTGTTTTTTGAACAGCCACAAAATTCGAAAGCCTGGAGTAGTTGCTTGGTAAGGGTTTTAGAGTACAGCCGTAGTTGATATGACTTACCTTATGTTAAAACTACATTTGCATAAAGGGTTATTTATGGATAACTATTAATTGCTGAGATGAGGCCTTTTTTTAGCATGTCAAATTCTTTGGGTTTGTTGAAAATGTTTCTAGAGAAGAGTGTGGTATGTCTTTTTTATTTTGTTATTGTCAGCACAGAGAATCTGCCTACGATGTTTCAGAGGGTTGTGTCTCTGATACATTTATAATTTAAGTAAAATTAGATATTTGACAACTGGTACTTGTGGATTTTTGACAAAATTAAGTATTTTATAATGTGTGAAACCAACCTGTGTAGGAATTAGTGATGGCAAGCTAATATATTATTAAGTGCAGTTTTATTAGCTATAGTGTTATCTGTCAGCCTGTTTGTCTTCTGTCATATTATGTACCCATTTTTTCAGTAAGAGTGGATTTATTGATCAACCTCTAAATCCGTTCAATTATTTGGTCAATTTTTCCAGTTTCAGTTGTAGCCTCTTTTTCTTAGACAGAGGAGCCCATGCCAGAAAGTAGCACATTAGAGCAACTGTTAACATACTGTTTGGATTTACCATGATTATTAAACTTTACCATTATCCTGTTCAATACTCTGGGACCAAACTTAAAGAAAGATGCCCAGGAGGAGAAAGGAAGACATAGATGCACAAGTAAAATATAGGTAGCAGAGAGCTAGAAATCGGTCTCTTAACAAGCCATTCCTTTACATACGCACACATGCCCATATCCTTCTTGTTCATGAAGGTGATTAATCGCCAGGGGTACCTTGAACTGAGATTCTCCTTACCTTTAAATCTGTGATACAGATTTTTAAATCTATATATCTCTCTACATCGTACAAAAGAGAAAAGTTAAGACTGACAGAAAAAGATAGTTGAGGAAAAAAACTCTTTTGAAGGAAACAGAATAAAATTACCCTCCTAGTATAACGTATAGCCATATCTCTAAGTCTCCCTAAAATCCTCATCAGTCCTGTCTTGATTTGTAACCTTTTGTATTCTTTCCGTTGATGAGTATCAGGATGATCTTATGTGGCAAATCTAAGAAATACATAAAACTCTATGCTGGAAGTGTAGAATCTTGGTAAGTTAGTGTAAAGTTTCTTTCGGATTCATTTCCATAGCACTGTACCAATCATAAGTGTTCTTAGGAATGTAAAAATCTGCTCTCTGGTATAGTCACTGCTTTGGGTGCAGTAAGGAAAAAGAGAATAGTGATTTTAGAACTGACTTAAAGCTTTTAGATGGAATGAAAGAGAATAATAATGTGAACATAAACCTAATGTAGTTGTGATACCATTGATTCTGAGGCATGTCTGTCATGGAGACTGGCAAAAATCTAATATTTAAATACTTATATATTTATGAGTTATAATAATGCAAGCTAATGCTCTTAGACCGAAGTATATTTCCATTAAAACCGAACAGTTCGTGTCAGCATATGATGAGTTTATTATGTATACTTTTATTTTGGAAAAAAAACAACAACAAAAAAACTAGCTCATCACTAAGGCAGTTCTGCTAAAGTTATGCTTTCCAGTGACACATAGATTGCTTGAGAGAGTTTGGAAGAGCTTTGATTAATTAAGCCTCAGGGAAATTAAGGATAAAAACATAAATCTTGATTCTTGCAGTAGGAGAGGAATAAAAGTTTCCCATTGCCTGGAATGATGAAATGAAGAGTATTTGGCTAGAGAAAGAACAAAAGAGACAAGAAAAGTGATACTAGCAAATGTAAATGTGAATACCCGAACGCATGATAGTTCTAACTTAGCCTCACATTTAAGATCCTCTCTGATTCAACTATAAATGATCATTCTAGTCTTACTACTCCACTAAATGTACTCTTTGTGCCAGTCACACTGTACTAAAATTTCCTTTAAAACGACTTTGTTCATGCTGTATTTGGTGTGCCTTTCCTTCCATCTCCACCTTTTGAAATCTTACCAATGTGTCTTTTTGATTACTTCATCAACTTTCTCTAGTTGTCTCATTTAGAAAAAAACCTTTAAATTTCCTAATACGTATGTGTGTGTGTGTGTGTGTGTGTGTGAATGAATATGTATACATTATTACTGATAAAGCTACTGTATTCTCTCTTTCATTACTATGAAATTTTGTGGAATTAGATCATCTGTCTCTTCAGCTATTTCTGAGGGAAATCTCCAGACTCAGCTTTATTAACCCTAGAGAACTTTTTTTAGATTTAAGGGGGAAAAAAATGCCAGTGATATACACTGCAATATGTTTGTTTCAGTTGCAAATATGCTTTACGTATTTGAAAACTGTAAACCTTTCCAGGTATTGTATCATAAAAGTATTTTGTAGTTTTTGGTAACTCTTTCTCATGTTCTAAAATTCTCTGTCAGTCATAGCAGAAATTCTGTGTGTTGGTGGTTTAGTCTAGCTTGTGCTTCAGAGATGATGTTCTGGCTACATGCAGTTTGGTGAGATATGGATGAAGTAAAATGATGTTCAAGATTTCCCCCCTCTCTCTTTTTTGCCATGGGTGGGGAAAACTGAAGAAGCATACAGGAGAGAAAGATGGGCTAAAAGTTTAGAAAAGAAAATGAACTTAGATGTTTGATGTATTTTGTGTTAGATGAGTGGAACTGATTAGTGAAGAGACTGTGGAGCCCACCCTCCTCACGCTCCCCCCCCCTTCCAGCAAGAAGTCCAGACAGCTAACTGTAAAAGTAATGGCATCAGTAAACATCTTTTAAACTTAAATCTTTTACTGAATTATTTAAAAAATTAAAGAAGAATCTAGACCTCAGGGTCTAGACTTGGAAAAACTAGCTAGAAAAACTAGAGACAGTACACCAGTAGATAAAAAATAAAATGATTTGATTATAGGGTAGACCACCAACTGCCAGTTAACACTTAGCAAAATAGTAGTTGGTTTTGAGTTTGGGTGGTGAGCCTGGAAGATAGTAGTGGATTTAGAGTGAACCAGAAGAATGAAAATATTCCAGGTGAGAACATAGTAAGGAGAGAAGCAGTGCCTCCAAGAGGGTCAGTATTTGCCATAAAGACATTCCTGAGATAAGTCAGTTCACGGCTGAGGAGAAGGAATGTTAGGGCATAACTGGAGTGGTAGATCTTAAATGTTACATGGAGATTTGATTTATAATATGATGATTAGGCAATCACAGGAACCACATGTTTGAGGAAATATATGCAAGCCAGAGCAGAGCAAGGAAAGTCTGTCCTTAAGGACTCTGTTTCAGTAATATAGTAATGAGCTATTGAAGATTGAGTTTACAAGATAATTGAATTTGAGGTGAACTTTGGGACAAAAATCAGGAAACCTCGATGATTAGATATATATTGGCCACAGCCTTGTCATGGGCACTTTTAAAGTCCTTAAAGAGTAAACCAAGGCTTCGAACCAGTTCTTCCCAATTCAGTCATGGCTGAGGAAGCAAAACTAGAACAGACCCGAGTTTTTAAAATTTATGTGAACTGGAACCATAACCAGAACAGGAAGAATTACAGATGGAAGCCCTGATAGAAACTTACTCTCCCTCTTAGAAAACAAGGGCAGTGTATTCCCATAACAATCAAATCTCTTGGCCCTCGGATTTTGCGCAGTCAGAAACAGTGATGCGCTGCTCAAAGTGGTGGTCACTTTGAATGTGTGTCACACTCCTCAGACCTGGCAATAATCCAGTCTCACGTATCAGGCCCCTGAGAGGGTTCACTACACCTCTTCTGAGTTTCCCATTCCAGGGCTTCGACCCACAATTTTTCCCATTCCGATTGTGGTTTTAGATGACCCAAATTAAAAAAAAATTCAGGTCTGTCACAGTTTTGCTTCATCAGCTAAGACTGAACTGGTTCGAAGTCCTGGAGTAAACATAGTGTGTTTTGGAGCATGTGTTTTTGCTTATTGGTTAATAGTTCTTTCTTCATTTCCAGTGTGTTTACACACCTGATGAATTTATTAGACTGAACCCATGTTTGTTCGTACCTGTGTGACACTGTGAACTAAATGGATAAGATGTCTGTACTAAGACACCTATGGAATAAAACATACAAATAGTAGATTTAGGGGGAAAAGGCTGGAAATAGAAAAGAGAGATAGTAGGAATTAATATTTCTCTTGAGGGGTTGTTATTGATGCTCTGTGCTCCTCCTCCTTCTCTCCCTCACACACCCTTTCTTAACTCTTTTTTCTTTCCTAACTGTTCTCTCTCCTTTCCTTTTTCTGTCTTCCACTTCTGTTTTTCTTTTATAATAGACATTTTTGTCATTATTTTAATATTCATTTTGAATAGGAAATACATTTACATGATTAAATTAAAGAACATAAACATATATTAAGTAACATTTGTTCTACTGGTAATCAACACCTGTTATAAAAGATAGAATGTGAATTTGGGGCAAAGATAAACTGATAGATCAGTGGAAAGTAAAATGGAATAGAGAACCCAGAAACAGACCCACATGAATATGGACATTTGGTTTAGGACAAAGGTTGTACTGCAAAGCTGTAGGGTAAGGATGATCTTTTCCACAAATAGTAACAGGGACTATTGTATATATGCATGCAAAAAATGAAAACTGACCCCTGCCTCACACTGTGTACAAAAATAAGGTCCACATGGGTTTTAAACCTAAGTATGAAAGACATACGGAGCATACTAGAAACAGGATTCATCCCTCTTCCTTTAAATACAAAACCTACCTATCCTCCCGATCTCCCTAGAAATTCTGGCAAAAATGAAATCAGTTATTTACACTGAGAATTTTACTGAACCATAAAATACTGTTTTAATAATTGTGAATAAATTCAACTGATCTTCCTCTTCTCCCTTTATGTTAAGTTAGATTATACAGTTCAGTTATATAAAAGACCCAAGAGCACCTTTCCAATCTTTTTTTTTAATATTTATTCATTCATGTCATTTTTATAAAACTGACTTTTCCTTTAAAACAGTATTGCATAAAACAGAAGTTTTACTGTACTACCAAGCAAAAATTCATGCAAGTGTTAAAAAGTTAAGATATCTTATGTCTATATTCTTTCAGGGCAATTAAAGCATTTCAGGAGGTGCTTTATGTTGATCCCAGCTTTTGTCGAGCCAAGGAAATTCATTTACGACTTGGGCTTATGTTCAAAGTGAACACAGACTATGAGTCTAGTTTAAAGGTAGGTTGTTGGGTTTTTTTCAAGATACGATGTTCATTTTTATGGGTTTTTTTTTTTTTTGTTGTTGTTTGTTAAATAGAGCACTGAGAAATGTTGGACTTTGTATTAGCACTTTAAAAGAAAATTTGAAAATTTAGATGACAGAACTGTTTATCAGGTATGAACTGGAAGATACCTAAGATTGAGTTTCAGAGTACAAAGTAGTTATGATGCTAAGACTTGTGTGGTAACTAATTTCATATTTGTTTGTTTGTTTGTTTTTAAATTTTAACTGAGGTCTATCATCAGGAAAGGGTAAAAGTTTCAATCTCAGTTTGAACATCTAAATCACTCCCCTGTAAGTGACTGTCCACTACAGAGGTCAGAAGCAGCTGCTTAATGATGCTGTGTCTGTGACCTAATCATTGGCCATTCGTTTGCATGGGTTTACTAGAAATCTGTCCACCTCTACCAGCAGGGCTCCTCTCATATTAAAATTATAAAAAAGAGTGCTCTGCAAGGCATTTGGACTATTGCTTCGTGAGTATAAACATTATTAGGAAAAGATAATGTATTGTTGGTTAAATATCTTACTTCTAATGGAAATTCGATGTTACCAAATTTTTCATTTTTTATTGAGATTCCTGTGTTGTCTATACCATCACTTTAGGTCTTAATGGGCTTTTACTGAAAATAGCGCTTCACTGCACGACAAAAGCATGAATTGAAAGTATTAGAAATTCTAGGGAAAAGCTTCAGTTTTTTGTGAATTTTATGACTATAATGGTTGCCATTTTCTAAATATCTCCATTGCAGATTATCTTGATTTTAAAAACAGAGCGAGTGAGTGATAACAAGAAAAGGAGAATGATAAAGACTGACTTTACAGTGGGTTGTAATTTGTAGTGGTTAAGAGCTCAGCTGCTAACCAGAAGGTCCGCAGTTTGAGTCTACCAGCTTCTCCTTGGAAAACCTGTGAGGCAGTTCTCCTCTGTCCTATAGGGTTGCTATGAGTCAGGTTCGACTTGACAGCAATGGGTTTGGTTTTTGGTTTAATAAGGAACTACTAAAGGTTTAAAAAAAAATGCTGTACTTAAAAGTGGCTAATTGTTCTAGATTTTTAAAGTAGAAAATTACACATATACTGTTCCTACCTTTTATGAGTTTATAAAGAAAAACGCTGATTTTATGAAAGACAGATATATAACCAAGAACATTAAAACAAGTAGATTGTGAAGAATTTAGATCACATAGTGGTCAAAGGTAAGTGTAGTTAGAGGCATAGGCTCCAGAGTTAAGTGTAAGTAGTGTGGAGAATAAGGGATGCCTGGAAGTTACCAATTTTCTTCAAATTTAGAGCAGCCTTTCTCAAACTATATACTATGGAATGTCTGGTTTTGAAATGGAAAATAAGTTCAGATATGCCACCTTGCATATATAACCTCCTCTAGGATATTCACAGTGTATGTTAGCCATCAAAGAATCTTAGAATGTTTTCTAGTACAAAATAAATTTGCTTGAGCATTTTACAGTATTCTCACAACATGCCTATTAGGTTGTGTGTTTTTGGTAGCAGTTTGGTAAATGTTGCTCAGGAAATATATTTGAGGGGAAAAAAGTAATCAGATAATTTCAAAAATCATGGAATGTGATTATCTCTGAATATCAATACAGTAGTATCTTAAATAATTCTGTGGATGCAAAACTCCATTTTCATGAAGATGGTAATAGTTATTAAAAACCCCTTTAATCAAGAGAAGTAGTGTTGGACAGTGTTCCATGGCTAATTAAAAGTGTTCTGCTTATTCGTGCTCAACAGAAACATTCCTGTATACAACTTTTGTTTTTTCACACATAGTTAAAGGCTAACAAAAACCTTCAGGTCATGGTGATTTTAGCAAATTGCCTTAGGTAAGTGCAGCCTTCTTTTTCTGGGCCTTTTCTCCATTTATTTAAAATACTTGATATCATTCTGATGTCTGTTCATTTGTGTGAATATAGAAAATAATTTTAGGAGTCCTTGATATTTTTCTGCCTCATAGTTTAGAGATCTCATTTGGTTTTTATCTCATCCTGACATTGGTTTTTTAAGCCTTCTCTCTCCAGTATTCCTTGTCTATTTTAAGAATTTTAGGCATCAACATTTTTAGTTGAGGAGAAGGTATTTCTGTATGTTTCTATAAATGCTTAGCATTCAGAGTAAACGAAGGTAGGAATCAGAAGGAATGATAATCTCCTCTCACCTTAGATGGCCTTTTCCTAAAGTACACTGGCTAGATAGATGTGGAACCTCTGTTAACCTTTCTACTTCATTAAACTTTTTCCTAGTACAGTATGTTGGTATAGATGCTTTAGGCTACAACCTCAGAAACTCCAACTCAGGCTGGTTAAAATAACAAAAAAAGTTAGCTCATACAGTGTGAAGTCCCATCTTTCAGGATTGGTTGATTCAGCTGTTCCGAGTTTTCATCAAGGATTCATTTCCTTTTTTGTTCTATGTTGACTTATTCTAAAGGCTGGTTGCTCTATTTGATGATATAAGGTGCCAGGTACAATCAAAGTGAAATTCCTTTCTCATGTCTCATATAGAAAGACGCTATAGAGTAGTGGCTTAGATGCTTAGTGTAGTACTCTCGTATAGTAAGTACTTAATAAATGTCTGATCATTATTATGATTTCATGGAGGAGAATGATCTTGGCTTCTTGTTGATCTCTTCAAGAATGAGAAGTGCTTTCATAGAAGCTGTCAGCAGCCTTACATCTCATTGGCCAGAAATAGGCCACATGACCATTCCTAGCCTATTCTCGATCAAAGGAGACCATTTATGCCCATTCTTTGAACAGGGTTCAATTCCCCAAATACCCTGTTCCTATCTAATGGAGAAGAGGGATAAAATGGATATTTTGGTATGTGTGTGTGGCAGGGGGGAGGGCAGTGTGAATAATATGTCTACTGCAGATCAGGTCATCTCTACCACATTTCCTTTTCTAATGACCAAAGAGGGAGATAGCATATATAATGCTCTTTAGATGGTAAAATATTTAAATAAAATAGTTTATTTCCTTAGTAGATTCCTTTTCACCCACACATGAAATGCATTCCAGAGCCTCCTGTTTCGTTTCTATCCCTGGTAACAACTTTTCTTGCAAAATGTGTCTCTGAAACAGACTCATCCTGTTTTGGTACTGTATAAACAGCTCTCAGAGTAAGCAAATTTGGTTTTAAAATTTGATCCTACCACGTAACTAATTATGTGACTTTGGACAAGATGCTTAATTCTTCTGATCCTCTCTGTGTCTGTGGAACTGGAATAACTATACCCACCTCACAAGATTGTTACAAAGGTTAAATTTTATATATATGAAAGTATCTGCCAAATAATTTTTTTTCAGCCCCTTAGTTCTCAGTTTATCATCTAAATTTTTTCTAATTTGGTCCCACTATAGATATTGTTTGTGAAATCCATTTTCCCACCCCAGAATTTAATCCTTGTATGTTTGTCACTCTGCCTATCCTCAGAAATGTGAAATTAATGCCTAGCTTACTTTTTAATCATATCAAGTTATTTTTCTATTAAATTGGCTACTGAAAATTTTGTGTGTTTAGTGAGTGGTGGAGATACCGATTCTTAACTTAGGAACTAGTTTAATATTACTTAAACAAGAGTCTGTTCCAGGGTGACATTTCTACGCGGCGTTTTATTATTGTTCTTCCCTGCTTCTGATAATATCCCCCCAGATGAGTTTGGTTGTCAGTTTAACTCTATATAATTAATTCAGAATTTTATTTCATTATCTTTTAATGATATTAATGGTAATTGCTTACATTCATTATATATTTGAAGCAGTCTTCTATTATTACTTCAATAAAAGGACACTAATTTTGATAAATAATTTTAAATAATGCCTCTAATTTTCATCTCCTGGCAGACTGTTAAAGTTATTTCCTTCATGTGAGGCTAATTAATGCAAATGTAATAACATCCATATTCTTCAGTCAGTTAATGCCAATGCATGTATTTAATGAAAATTATCCCTAATATTTATATATCCATACCATGCTGGGTTTCCTTAAAATATGTCAATATTAGAACTTTTCTGAATTTTTAAAGGTAAAGAAGGTGACCTTTTTTTATGGGAACCTAAGGAGAGTTAGCTGCATACCAATGAATATACATTCCCCTATAATTTGGTAGTTGAAGAGGATAAGTGCAGAATGAACAGTTTAATAGAAAGGAATAGGAAGATGAGAACTATAAAGTTCAGAGGAATGGGTTGAACTCAAAGGAGCCATGTGTGTTAGCGTTTTACTAGGTGCATAGTGTGTTGAAGAAGCTATAAGGTGATAAAATGCCTATTCTGTAGGACTGGCTGGAAGAATAGAAAGGGGCAGAAAAAGCTGGTTTTATTCATCATCTTATAAAAGAATGTTTTTCTGTACAAGCTGATAGTGCAATTGTCTTCTCCAAATGCCCCAGTTCACCAGCATGTCCCCTCCTCTACTTTTATAACTGGCAGGAAACTTCTGAGTGAAATAGCAGTTCTGTTTTCTTGTTTACCATACTCTTTGAGTACTATTTCATTTCCAGGTGTCTGATTAGATATTTTATCCTTTATAGACTCAGGAATTTTGTCCTACATGTAGTCCCTGAGTTACAATGAACTGCAGTTATGACAGTCTGTGTTGTTTTTTTTTTTTTGGTACATCTTATCGTTAGTAATACGTACTACATACAGTGTTGCAGCACATAATTTGCTGATGTTACCATTCTCACATGTTCACTCGCAGGTGTTCAAAGATTGGATTTATAAAAATACTGATAATAAAAGGCAATAATAATGAAAACTTAAAAAAAAAAAAAGATATTAGACTTACGTCAGAACCATCCGTCATTGGAACAGAACCCTGTCGAAAGTCGGGGACTGCCTGTATTTTTTATACGCAGAGGAATAAATAAAATTTTTAGAAAACACCTTTGGAACCTGTAAAATGCCTCCTGTCTTTTATTTTATGTATTAAT